CAGTATTACAATACTTGCATACACCCCTTAAGCTTCTTTCCACATCAGATATAAGCATTTTGGAAGTCCACTATGCTTAAGACACATCCTCCAGGCTAGAGGAAGTAAAATAACACCTACAGCTCACTCTGCAGTTCAGAGTCACTACCCAACAGTAATGCACTGCATTCATAGGGAGGCTGCAGATGTAGCAGCGCTACCTCACACATCAGTACAGCGACCTGGTAACGAGTCTAAATGCCACAGCAACCATTTGTCCACAGCGCTTTTCAGAGCAAAGCTTTGTCCCACAAGTCCTCTAACGAAGGTGAGAGCAGATTCGGTACAAGGTCTAAGAGTACTAGACCCTGAGAAGTAACCCACATACAACAGGATGGCAACACTGCTCTACAACACTGAGATGAACTGCATTTGAAGAGTACACCTGGTCATAAAATAAACAGGAACTGGGTGTACGTGACCCAGGTTATTACAAGTCAGACAGTAAAAACTGAACTTTGAAGAAGTCACTTGAAGGACAGTTATAGTTCAAACACCAACTACCCAGGCACCTTCTCAGGATGTTGCCTGTGGCTACCCAAGCCACACTAATGCAATTCAACAGTTATTGAAACTTTGACCTTGTGGGAGTACACTTGGAGAGTTCACTATTAAATTCCAACTGCAAGATTACTGTGAGCAACTGAGCTCATCAGAAACATTGATTCAAGGCCTTTGTCTTCATTTCCAGTAAGAAGCATGCCCCACTTCATCTGCTAACCTCCACATCAGAAAGACACGGTTTACAAGTTACACACAGTTACAACAGTCAACTGCAGGGCACCATGCAAAGCAAGAAACGAGATTCTGTGTAGGGATGTCCCCACCTGGAAAGACGACTGCGATAGTCTGACATGACTGTGGAATACGACAGATTTCAGAAAAAAAAGTTTCGAAACTATTTTAAGGAGAGTCCTAGCAACATGCTCCAAAAGTTATGTCACCAGATAGGTGTTAAGCTAGTACACGGAGAAAGCCAACGCAAAACAAGCCTTACGTGGACTGCCTCAGCCACTCGGTGATACTTGGTCTCCTCGGTAGTGAGGCCTTTGTGGGGAGTGTAGCCAGCATCTCTCAGCCCTGCCTGCTGCTCAAAGCGCTGAATGCTCTCCTGAGTCTGCTCTGGAACGGACAAGAGCACATATTCACACAGAAATGCCACCACAAGCAGTTCTAGCAAACAAAGGCAACATAACCAACTGCATGTAAGACCCTTTTTTCATCATTCATACCTACATGTTGTGATGAGTTGATAGAGGCAGCAAGATGAAGCCCATGAGATATTCTGACTCAAACTATCCTGAGTCATAGGGCTAAGTCAGATGAGCCAGGAATTAAACTGTAAATTAATGAGCTGTAATTAAACCCATCTCACCCAAGAAGCTGCATCACTCCTAATTACAACTTCCTAAAATCTAGGAGACCCCAATAAGCTGGATATTTTAAGTGGCCCTCTAGGTTCAAGGGAGGTTTTTTGGCCAACAAAAAATGAAGCCACCTGAAAGACTGCCCACACTAGCTGACCTGACAATCACAGCCTTGCAGAACAAGTGGTAAAGACTCCCAGTGCTTCCTGATTAGGTAAAATAAACTATTTCAGACAAATACAGAGCCAGCATCTAATACACTGATATCAGCTTCAGTTCTGAAAAATACAAGCACTTCCCCCCCCCACTACCAGCATAAGATGTTCACTACCTAGTGGAACTAAAAAAAGTCAAAAGGAATTAGAGCACAAAAAGATTACTGGAAAAGTCCAAAGTCTTCTTTAAAAGAGAAAACACTTCCCATGTTAATGTTAAAGTTATTTGCAGGGATAGTGCACTGTATATACGAGAAATCTAGAGGACCTTTGTCTGTTCGTTGCCAGCTTGTGACTGAATGTTCTTCCTGGGAGGTGTAGGTAGGGGCTCCTGACTTCTTACTTCACAAGAACATTTTTAGGCCATCGTGGTTTTAACTAGATTAGCATTTTATCATTAGGAGCTGCTTTCCAGAAGAAAGTCCGTATTCCCGGATGTTATTTTCTGCTGTGCTGGTTATTTTTGAGCCAAGACCAAAATAAGTGCCAATGTATAGCTATTCCAAAATTCTGGTCTGAAAAATCTAGAAGTCTTTGGAAGCAATGCTCGGAGGAAAAGATGAAGCTCAGATCCCAGCTGCTAAAAGAAGAGGCAGCAGGGACAGATTAACACATGAATAATTCCTCTTGTTGCAAATGGGCATGTCTTCTCTGCAAGCATAACTGACCCAATTTGACTTTAAAGCATCATGGTTTATGAGGTTTGTTTTTTTTCAAGTAAGCATTACTGTTAGCAAGACAGCTGCTGCTGCTGTTAACAAACATAAATGCCAGCAAGTGCTCCATTAGCACAGTGTGCCAGCTCTCCACACCGCTTTGGTTAATTGTAGAGCTTTACCAGTCATTCAGAAAGAGCAGGTTAATAAGCAAACAGAGTAACAGCAGCCGCCACCACCTCTGCGCTCCAGCAACACAGTGGCATGGACTGCAGTGTCCTATCAGCAGATAACGTACCCTGCACTCCTCCCTCATCACCCACCTCCAGCACCTGGAAACACAGAGGCAGTAAGCATGGCCTATTCCCTAGTTCCTTGCTTCCTTCTAGAAGCATCCTCCAAAAAATAAACCTCATACAGCTCAAGAGCAGAGTCAGCCTGAACGCACAAGCTGCCCAGGAAGTCTGGTAGTTACCTTGAGGCCTTACCAAGCCGGAGCACGCTCGTGTGCCCACACCCCATTAGCCACCAGATTAGAGGTGAGAGTTCTTACTTGTAATCAGAGAGTTCATGATGATATGAGTGGCCTTGGCCTTCACCACAGGTACCTTGTTCACACTTTCGGTGGACGAAGAAGGAGTTATGACAGGTGCGTTCATGTTAGCATCCCCTTCCTCAATCTGTGGAGAAGAAGCAGGGTACAGTTTAAGATAAGAAAGTACCTCAGCACCTTGCCAGGACACATCTCTACTCAAATGAGACACAAGGCCAAGCTGCTCTAGCAGCAAGCCTTCATCCCATGGAAGAAACCCATACGCTGTTCTCACTACAGCCCAGGGACATTTAGAGCTTGAACCTTATAATTCTTAGCAGCGAACAAGCAACTTGCATCCAACATTTGAAAACCTACCGGGCTGAGAGCCAACAAGTTGTTAGTCTAAGTACAAAAAGGTCAACAGGAAAGAAACAAGAACACATCTACTTCCATTCTCCTAACTGCAAATTGGACTTCAAGGTCAATTGGGCAGGAGCACCCTTCCGCAGACAGCTCGGAAACGCAAACTATTTACAGGATGGCAGTCACACAGATTAGAGGCTGGTGTTTAGGTCTTGTTTTCCCCCCTCAGTCCTTCTATCAGTTTCTTGCTCAGTGTATCTCGTGGTCATAGCTCCACCACTGATCACAAGACCCTAGCAACAAAGAACCAGACAACGAATGCCAGAAAACAAGAAATCCTGTGAAATACAGACTTCCTCCTCCTAACACAGAAGTTACTGCTCCCTGACTGGACAGTTTGCTTTTTGTGCCAAACCACAACTCTAGGTTTTCTTCCACAAAAAAGATTTTAGAACAAAATGAGGTGAAAAGTAAAGGTTAAACCCAAAGCGATGCAGAGTTACTTACTTCCATTCCACAACATTTAACATCACTTCAAACTTCGCAAACAGCCTCTACATCTAAAAGAGCTGGTCCTGCACTCAAAGCATCCCCATAGTCATTTCATGTAACAGTCCGGGTTGGAAGGGACCTTCGCAGATTGTCTGGTCCTGCCCCCTGCTGCAGGCAGGGACATCTCTCACTAGATCAGGTTGCTTAAAATCTCATCCCACCTGACTTTGAATGCTTCCAGGAGTGGGGCATCCACAGCTTCTCTGGGCAACCTGGTCCAGTTTCTCACCACCCTCATCGCAAAGAATTTATATCCAACCTAGATCTACCCTTTTCCTCTGGCTTAATTACACCCGGTTACAGCTTGCAGCTTTTTTTACTCGTAAACACCTCTGATAAGCGAGGAGAATCCCAGAACACACCTATTTCAGCCTTACGTCAGTATTCCCACATAAACGCCGCCAATAAGCGAGGGGAATCGCAGAACACACCTATCTCAACCATACTTCAGTATTCCCACATAAATGCCTCCGATAAGCGAGGAGAATCCCAGAACACGTGTATCTCACCTGTACTTCAGTGTTCCCCCATAAACACCTCCCATAAGTGAAGAGAATCCCAGCACATGTCCATCTCAGCCGTACTTCAGTGTTCCGCCATAAATGCCTCTGATAAGCGAGGAGAATCCCAGAACGCACCTATCTCACCCATACATCAGTGTTCCCCCATAAACACCTCCCATAAGCGAGGAGAATCCCAGAACGCGTCTATCCCAGCCGTACTTCAGTGTTCCCACAACGGGGCCATGCAGCAAGGCCGGTCTCTCAACCCCAGCCCCTCCCGGGGGCTCCGGGGCCCAGCGGGGCCGGGTGCGGTGCTGGGCCAGCCAGCAGGCAGCCAGGAGGCCCGCCTGGGCCAGGGCCAGGGCGGGAACGGGCCAGCCCCGTACCTTCGAGAGCTCCTGGTACTTGCGCTCGGGGATGACGGGCTGTTTCCAGAGGACGTTGGCACAGAGGTCGGCGGGCGGCGGCGTCATGGGGGCCGTGTCCTCCAGGGCGTCGTCGTAGCTGAAGGCCCGCCGCGGCACACCGATGGGCAGCGACATCTTACCCGGGCGGGCCCCGCTGCCCTGCTCCAGCGCTGCGGACAGAGAGGGCAGCGCTCAGCGCCGCCGCGGCCTACGCGGGGCCGGTGGGGAACGCGGGGCCGAGGAGGGGAGAAGGCCTTACCGGGAGCGTCCGGTTGCCGTGAGCTCATGGCGGCGGCGGCGGCGCCGCGGCTCGGCTGAGGCTAGCGAGGCTCGGCGGGGGGCGGCGGGCCGGGGGCCGGCGCCATGGCGGAGCCGCAGGGCTCACACCGATACCGATACCGGAGGGGAGGTGGGCGAGGCAGGTGCTGCACCGG